GTAAGTGCTAAACTAATGGACACTCTTAATGAAGTATTTATTATAGAGATCAAAATTTAATCATTTATCAAATAATTGAAGGGCTACAAAATAAAAAATAATTGTGTACATAATGGTAATTATAATCTATAAAATAATTTCTGAGCTACAAGAAGCTTTACAAATACTTTAATTTATAGGACAGAAAATGGAAATCCAGAGAAATGCAATAATGTGTCCATAAACATTCATATTATTAAAGACAGAAATGGGATTAGTAGAAACATTCTATCTCTTAGAATATGTGGTTTGGATGTATTTAATTCTCAAAATTAATGAATGGATTTCCCTTTATTAAGGGATAAATATATGATGAGAAGTTTAGAGATCAAAGCTTAAATCTTGACTTCTACTCATATTATACCTGTGACCTTGTGCAAAGTACAATGCCTTAGTTTTCTCATGTGAAAACAAGGTGTCTGGTACATAGCATGTAGTCACCAAATATTTAGCTATTAACTATCGGTCCATAATTTGGCTAATTTAGGTATACATCTTGAATTTTTATTAAAATGGTTCCTAATCTCTAGGCTTACACATAATGAAAAAGGACACACACAAACACACAGTTGGTAATGAGTTTATAATAGAATATGGATACTAAGTAGTTAGCCATAGAGAGTTATGAATATAGGAGAGCACAGAGCATCCAAATTAGCCTGACAGCAAGCGTGATGCATTTCTCTAGTAAATTAGAGTAGGGAGACATATCTGGGGGTGCTCTCAGGATCAATCCATGTGGCAAAGGGAAGAAAACAGGACTGAGCAAAGGGAGAAGTTGGGCTCACATACAGTCCCAGTGAAGGCCTCAGCTAATCTCACATGAAATTCTGGACCTCAGATGGCCCATCAGAATTGCCCCGATTGGGGCAAGGGGATCTTTATATTGGCCAGTCTTTGACTGTAATTTCTCTGCAGGAAGGAGCAGCGAGGATGGTGGTGTGACTTTCTTCAGCCACAGGCAATGCCCAAGTAGGGGACTTTAACTATGAGCTGTTAGCCAGCAACCCAGGAAGTGAGAAAAGTGCATCTGAAGTAGGACAATGTGTTATTGCATCACAGTATCTTCTACAGTAGTTATCAGGGAAGACTTCCTGGAATAAGAGAGGATCTTAAAGATTTAGAAGATGTGTCCAAAGCTGGATTCATATATAGGATAAGGATATAGCATAAACAAAGGCATGGGTGGTTTAAGAAAATTGCAAGTAATTACTGAAACATAATCATAATGAAGGAGTGAATGGTTAGGTGAGGTTAGGGTACGAGTTTGATAGCAACAGCTGACCTAGGTACTGGCTAGGTCATGAAAAGTTTTAAATGACCTTAACATCTACATATTTTACATTGTTGAGATATATGAAGGAGAGCAGAGACCAAGTCAGATTGTCTTTTAGAAAAAACACCCCACAGCAGTGTGGAAGATATATTTGAGAGCATCAAGACTGGAGGCAGGCAGGCTCTGTAATAGTCTGAGTGAAAGATGACGAGGACCTGGATAATACTACCTCTCTAGAAGAACTTTCACACTGATTACATGTTATTTCACATGATGTGTTCATCATGACACTCTTACATTATTGTTTTTTCTTACTTATATTCTTCTGGGTTCTATAGATTTTTTTTTCTACTGGAGAAAACAATTTAAAATGTCCTTAGAGGATAAGAAGAAAATATGTGTTACATGTACATTTGTAAGCATATCTATCCATTTACAACATTTATTTTTAATCAATATGTGTTTAGAGCATGAGAATTTTTTTTTCAAATTAGATTTATAGACATGGCTACAGCTATAAGATGAGTTCTAAAATATAATTTTTGTTAATATAGAATATTAAAAAAATAAAACTTAAAGAACTTCTGAATTTAATTTTAAAGAGGAAAAATACAGAAAATGTGAAGGTATAAAGCAAAAGCTTGGCACACATCCCTGAGTTTTGATTTCAGTTGAATTTGAGCAGGTCAATGACCCAAAGTCTCAGTTTCTTCATCTTTACAATGTGACTAATAATGTGTCAAAAAGCCATTGTGAAGATTAAATGATCAAGTGCTAATAATCATTTCCTACGTTATAAAATACTACCTAAACGTCAGTATCCACACTTTAATAATTTATCTGAATTAGGCATCCTAATTTGGAGAGAAAAACAACGAGCAGAGAAGCAGCACAGAAAGGCAAAGCCGGACATCTGGAGCTCTAAGCTCAGGCCACACACGCTTGGCCGGGCCTGGGGAGCTGTCCTGGGCAGGAGTGAGTGATGATACAGGTGGAGAGCGAAGTCACGTGGGTGTAGCTTCCCTTTCCAAGCTTCTGTTTGGTTTTCTTTAGCATGCTTATTTTTACTACGCTTATTTTAACTAGGCTTTCACCAGAGCAGGCATTATGTTTTAATGAGTTCTAATTTCCCATTTGATGCCAGCATGAATCTTAGTCCTTAATTACGTGAGAAGGCGATGATTACAGACCTATTTTCTGCTGAGTCTTGGCAGGAAAGAGGACCAGAGCCATCAGCTTTATTACAGCAGCATAAGAACGTGGAAACCACATGGAGCTAGGTAGGAGTCACACATTCCGTATTTGAGTCTTTCTCTCTCTTTGGGAAAAATATTACATATTTCTGAACCTCAGCTCTTTTTTTTTTTCATTAAGACCAGAGGTTTGGAATTAAGTTAAGTTCCTTCTGGATTTATAGTGCTGATTCTCAAGGTTCATAATACTCTAGAGAAAGAAGAATGGGGACCCTAGAGTGTATGCCTGAGTCTAGCTGGGAAGACTTACTTTTTAAAAACTTTTTTATTAAATTTATTGTGGTGACATTAGTTAATAAAAAAATATAGGTTTCAAGTATACAATTCTAGAATACATAATCAGTATATTGCATTGTGTATTTACTTCCATCACTATATATTTGACCTCTTTTTCTACCTCCCACCCCTTTTTCTCTGATGACCACCACTGTTGTCTATATCTATTTGGTTTGTCTTATTTGTTCATTTGTTACTTTTGGTTTTATTCCCCACATATAAGTGGAATGGTTCTTGACTCCATCTTTTTTTATAGAACTGCATTATACAGGTCAAGATCTGAATCACACAGTGTTGAAGGAATAGAAAATGCTCAACGAGAGCAGTGAGACACTCAAAGAGGAGGTAAATGTGCTTTCTTCATGCAGGTGCAAGAATGACATTTCTACCATATACCCTAAAGCCTACGTCAGATGCCCACAGTCCTCCTACACCTGCCCAAAGACTCTTTGTCCCTTTAATATCACACCAGCCTTTCAAGCACACACAACCACATGCATGCATACACACACACACACACACACACACACACACACGCACACAAGAACTGAGAGACATTTTGGAATGGAACCAAAGAAAATTCTTCAGGAGCCTAGAAAAAGACTGGACTAATTATTTGCTAGTCCCATTGTCAGGCTGTCTGACATTAGCCAAGTTTCATATAGTTTCAAGTTTCAGGTCAAAACATTTATATAAGAGTACCCCTGATGTTTTACAGTGGTTTTTCTTGTTATGAAAAATCTCAAAATATTGACCTCCTTGGAAACATTTCTTCTTACACTCCATTGCATTTTATAAATGTCTATTTGGTTTCTTGAGTTGCCATTATGTACACCATCCTTCCCTTCTCCCATGGGACTAAGAACTCTTTAGATCTATTTCTCATCCTCTGTTGATGTGGTGACATCATTACTGTTTGTTAAGAAAATGATTATTATGTCTCCAAGGACCCAACCCCATACATAATCCATTAAAATAAAATGTGACGTGTTCATGAAAATGTTATAGATTCAAAGTCCATGATATGTCTCAAAAAGACAAATAAGCAGGAGAAACAGTTGAATTAGGCGGTGGGGGCCACACAAGTTGGGGTGAAAAAGCAGAAGGCTCTGGTTGCTTTCATTGCATTTTGTGTGCAGCGATGTGCCAACCCTTTAACGCACACCACTGTGTTTCCCTAACTGATGCAGCACAGCCACAAAACTGAGTTTACAATCACTGCAACTCTCATTTACTGATTACAAAACTGAGGCACACACAATTATTAATGACCTGCCATGTAGCAGGTATTGCAGAAATGGGTAGTGACATAAAAGTAACTAAAATATATTTCCATATGCTTAGTGATCTAGTTAGTCACAAAGCTGGACTATGAGGCCTGGGAGACTATAGACCTCCATCACTAACCGCAAAATTGCTAGTACATAGCAGAGTTCCCAGAACACAGAGGTAACATAGTGAGTGTTTGTGAAATGAATTTACCATTTACTTGCCTAACTATTTTCAATGTGTGTGTTTTTTCTCCAGTATATGAGCTGCTCATTGAAAAAAAGTCAGAGATGCTAACAATCAAGTATACAGATTGTCTATTTTCACATCTGCAATGATGAACTGTATATATCAATTTATTTTTGTCTTTTACATGATTTACCAAACAAATCTAAATTATGCTTCACCTCAATTTTTATGCCAATTCGTGCAAAAATATGAAATTTTACTCCTCTTTATCAACTTCAAAATAATGTGAAAAAAATAATAATTTAAGAAAAGTAAATAAATTACATATAGGTAGAAGATCTTTTCATAGAGGGAGTATTTATTTCAAGCCATTGAGTTTGAGTCAGTTCTCTGTCATCAGGTTTATGTGTATGAATCCATTGAACCTTTATAATAATAATAATAATAATAATAATAATAATATTGTGCTTGACTTAGTTCCCTATCTTCAAAAATTTGAGCCAACTTCAAGATAATCAGTCTGTGAGAACTTTTAAGAAGTCTTGATAGGACTTTCTTTTAAATCTCTGTCTAGAAAAATAACCTGATTTTTAATTTGAAGGATACCTTTCATTATTTTTCCCCCCCACACCTTTCCACTAAAACTAGTAAATGGGCTTGGCCAAGGCAGTTAAGCACTACAGGGAGGGAGGACTTACCTATAGTTTTGCTTTTCATTTCCTATGTGGAATCTGTCATATTGCGAATAGGCCTGGTTTCCCTCCCAGTCCATTAACTGGATTCTGAGTGTGTACTGCCTCTGACTGGTCATGGCAAAAATAAACTCATTCCCCAGCCAGTATTCACCAGAGGGATTTCCAAAACCCTGCGAAAGAAGACAGAAATGCAGTTATTACTTCAGAGAGAAAGTTTTTTTTTTTTTAATGTTCAGTACTTAACTATGCTCTAAATGAAAATTAACATTAACATTTTTAAGAGTAAAAATGTTTTTTTTTCACATTTTACACATTGCTTTCAATTACTTACTCAATATTTCCCTGTTGTTTTCTTCCCTCCATTGAGGGTTTCATCTTATTGTTATTAGAGTAAAACCTTATATTCACATCTGTGTAGATTAGATTTTTTTTGGATTAATCTGGTTAATAAGTTTAATAAGTAAAAACTTCTCTACATAACTTGCTTTTGAAAATATTTATAAAATACTAGCTAATGAAATATTTTAACATAATTAAATATTTCCAATGAATTATGAGGGTACTATTATAGAATTACTTAACACTATTTTTATTTGTGTTTCATTATTATTCAGGAGTCAAATCATGCACAGATAAAAAAAAACAGATTATTAGACCTTTGACTTCTCTAGTTTTAACATTTTCATTATTTAAAATTTAATATTAAATTGTAGTTGACATATAATATTATATTAGTTTCAGGTATATAATATAGTGATTAGACATTTATATACTTCCCAAAGTTTAATATCTATCTAACACCATATATACTTATTACAATATCATTTACTATATTACCTATCCTGTACTTTACATCCCCATGACTATTTTTATAACTGGCAATTTGTAATTCTTAATCCCTTCACCTTTTTCATCCCTCTCCCCCAACCCCTAACTCATCTGGCTACTATCAATTTATTCTCTGTATCTATGAGTTTGTTCCTATTTTGCTTATCCATGTATTTTACTTTTTAGATTCATGAATAAGTGAAATTATATGCATTTGTCGTTCTCTTTCTGATTTATTTCAGAAGAATATTTTCCAATGATACATTCAATAGGGGGTTAATATCCAAAATATATAAGGAACTCATACAACTTAATACAATCTGATTAAAAACTGAGCCAAGGACCTGAATAGACATTTCTCCAAAGAGCACATACAGATGCCCAACAGACATATGAAAAGATGCTCCACATCACTAATCCTCAAAGAAATGCTAATTAAAATCACAAAGAGATACCACCTTATACTTGTCAGAATGGCTGTAATCAATAAACCAACAAACAATAAGCATTGGTGAGGATGTGGAGAAAAGGGACCCATTGTGTACTGTTTATGGAATTTTAAATTGGTGCAGCCAATTCCTAAAAAAAAAAAAAAATTAAAAATAAAACTACCCTACAAACAATTCCATTTTTGAATATTTACCCAAAGAAATCCAAAACACTAATTTGAAAAGACATATGCACCCCTATGTCCATAACATTCATATTTTAAACAACAATTAGCAAATCTGTGAATCTAAGACTACCATCACTCACTGGCATGAGTTTGGATTTTGAGGCTGAAGATAGAATGTAAGAGCTAGTGAGGGAAGCTGCTCTATACCTTAATCTCAATGCCTCTATTGTTTTCTTTAGGACAATCCTGGTCACCGGTTGTTAAGTGTTCGAAACAATTTCTTTGTGAGGAAAAAGAATGTTGTCCCCAAAAGAAAGCCAACTGTTAATGTAGGAGATGTTAGTGATATGAAAATAAAGAATCCTAAGTCATCCTAGACTTTGTGTGTTCATAACTGTCTCAGAAAGAATTCCTTGGTAACATGTGAAATTCAGTGTATTTCTTGAACCTACATTCTGACCAGATGATGAGCTCCTTGAGGACAGAAGTTGTCTTGAATTTGTGAATCTTCATAGGCTAGTGAAATACTGGCAGGTCCTGACACACTATTAAAGCTATTCTCCAACTTAACTGAGTTTTTCATTAAATGAATGTCCTTCGTCAGAATGCACTGGGTATATGGTCCCCTGAAGACCGTCTATCTGTTGCTCAGAGTAATGATATAAAACTCACTGAGGTCAGTATTTCAGGGACTCTTTTCTTTGTCCTTAAGATGCATGAGTCACACTTGGCAAAAAGTTCCATAGGAACAGGAAGTATTAAAGCAAGCTAGGATTTGCTAAGTATTTTACACATATTGGTGCCACATACCAGTGAGAAGGGAGAAGCTTACCTTCTCCAATGAGTAAGCAAAACAGGAAGTTACATAGGACTGAAGTCAAAGCATTAGTGCTTTCTCAGTTGCAGCAGCCACTGGGAAGAAAAAGAAGACCACTGGGATGTTCCTTGCATTTCCTCTCAGCTCAGACATGTCACAACCCTCTCTCTAGCCACTTGATGATTCCCTCTTCCAAGTAGTCAGAAGAGATTCAGCAATTGCACTAAATGTGAACAGGAGGCTGGGAATGATGAGGTGTTAAGTTGTGGGTCACATAGTTCCATGCTGCTGAAAGTACTGTATGGATAAGACTGCCCCGCTCCCCCAGGGAAATGTGCAGAGACCTTGAGCCTCAGAAATGGACGGGCGTTAGTATCTTTCCTAAAGCCTCCACCCCCATCTTGGTATACAGGTTTGTATTTCCCTCTAAGTGAGATTAACATCTGTTCCTAAATGGTTGGCCTTTTTTTCTCACTGAAAATAGAGAAAGAAGCAACTGAAAAGTAAGCAAAAAATGTGTTTTGAGATACCAAAATTTTATATCATGCACTCTCCTGAAAACTATCTATATGTGCTCTTATTGTGGGAGCAAAACCTTGGGCTACCATGAATCAAAATGGCTTTTAGGGAGAGAGAGAATGTAGGGAGGAAACCTTCTAATGGCTGAAAACGCAGTGATGCAGAAACAACTGTTCCATCATAAAGATGAAAAATAAATGAAAGAAGGGGAAATACGTTCCCACATTAGTAAACTGTCTATTGGATAATTTATCAGGAAGACCACGAATCTGATGCCTAGCAACAAAGGCTTGGCTTTGACTAAACAACTTCTATTCCCCATCCCGTTCTGATTTGAAGACTTTCTGCCACATATGTGCTGTGGACTCTCCAATATTATTTCTGAGTCTGTTTCCTTCTGAAAAATATGGATAAAAATGTTATTTCCATATAGAATGTTTTAGAGGAATGAAATAATAGACCTAAAGCATTTAGCTAAGTGTTGATACATGAGAAGCACTTAACAAAATTCTAGTTGTTGTTGGTATAAAGTATATTTCACAATACAGAGTAAATTCCTGTTGACCTGCTCCTCTCCCATGAGATTGTGAGCTATTTAAGGGTGAGTAGGTTACTTTTTACTTTGTATGAGAAAGGGAACAAAAATAATAACCTAGATTCTTGTCTTAGCTTAAAAATTAATAAGGGGATACATAAAAAGTTTTTAGATGCTAGGAATTAATGTATTCCTATGACAAGGATGAGAGATGGTTTATACAAATGAGCACTAGCATTTTAATATGCAAATAAACCCAACAGTTTTACACATTATTGCATACATAACAGCTTGCCACAGGTACTATATTTTACTCCAAATAGCCTGAAACATCCATAAAAATAAAAGCTTGAACTAAATTCAGTGCTGATATTGAAAAAGCAACAAGTCCTTAGTGAATAAACAATAGTAACAAACAGAATTTCTTCTTCTAAGAATGCTATAGCATATTCTTTCATTAAAAATACTAGAAGCCTGGTGCATGAAATTATGCTCGGGTAAGGTCCCTAGGCCTAGCCTGTGATCAGGGCCATCTTCCCCGGCTGCTGACAACTGGCCCCACCTCTGCCTCCACCCACCCTGGTCCCCTGTTCGCCATCCAGCGATGAGAGCCTGATGACTGAGGGAAGGACCAAGTGGTTGGTCATTCCCATCTGCTTGCTGGCCCCACCTCTGCTGCCAGTCGTCCTCTGTGTTTGGAGTGACCAGCGTGGTGGGGACATTGGCCTGGCACTGCCTGCATTCCCTGTCACTCAGCGTGGGTCCCCATTTGTCATGGATGATCAGAGCCTGCTGGCTGGGAAAAAGAACTGAGAGGTGGTCAGTGCACCTCATAGTGACTGGTCGAGTGGTCTTTCTGGTCATTCTGCCATTATGGTCCCTGGGCTTTTATTATATAGGACTGCTTAGCTATACCAATCATAACCACATGAAAGATTTTTATAACATAATTCAGATTATTATTTCTATTTCTCCTTTAGCCCTTTAATAAAAGGCACTGGAATGTAATCTAAACTAATGCTAACTTAAAATTGGCCTTAAAACCACATTTTGCTTTAAAAAGGCACACAGAGGAAAGACTAATATTCTTTAATTTTTGCCAAAACTTGCAGAAATGTTCAGTTGTGGTGTGTATTTTTCCAAGTTAATAAAATAATTGTCTCAGAATTTTGTTTTGTCTGATAATGCTCATAGGAAGTGTTGACTTTTTTATAGATGAACACAATTGAAACCAGACCCAGTCCATGTATCCTAGGGGTTTCATCTCTTTTCATATAACTAATTAAAGAAAACAGATAAGAAGTCAAGGTTACTGAGCTGTGTTGTCCAAAGGTGCTTTAATTCACAATTCAATCATGTGTTTCCTCTAACTGCTCAAGAGAGATCAAAAGAATGATTTCTTTCCACATTTTAAGTTTCTTATAGTTTTTTCTCTTTTTAATGTGAAGATGTTAAAATGCAGCTGAAAATGTGCTCTTAATTTCTTTCCAGAAACAAAGAACTCCCAGAAGATATGGTGCTCAGGCTGAAATATTTATATTAATAGGAAGCTCTATTTATGGGGGTAATTTTTTTTTCCCAATACAAAGCCAGGTTGTCTCCAGGGCATTAGTCACTGCCTTCTATAAAGTTAGGCCACAAGGGTACTGTTTGGAACTCCTAGCTTGATTGGGCTTTATGTGCAAAAGTACTGCTGATAAGTGTTATTGCTGGAGGCCACTAAATAGTATCCTCATGGCTTGAAGGAGTTAATATAGTTCCCTAAGTGCCTCTTAAAAGGGCCCACTCCAGACTTCCCTCTCACCAAACATCTTTACAAATCCATAAACCAGATTTTGCTGAATCTCCTCATAAGGAAGTTTAAGTGAAAACAAAGCTCAGGTAAAAGATCTTTGCAGGCCTAAGGCAAATATTAAGAATGAAATAAGCAGTAAATCCTCCATATTGAGAGGTTTGTTTTTTTTTAAATAATATATAATATACATTTATAATTTCATGTGTTGATATTACAAACATATTTTTTTTGAAACCGTATGAGGCAAGAGACAGTCCTTAGGTACCAGCCAGTATAAGGGAAGGAGAGAGGAGAGGCAGAAGAGAATGTGGGATGGAATTCTACTTCTACACTCAGAGCCAGAGAGAGAAGTGAAGCATCTTAGGTTATACTATGGTAGATGGGTGAAGACTGAGGAGGAAGTGGTGCATGCCAAGAAGTTTCTGTTTTCCTGAAGGATGTACCCGCCCTCTGCTCCCATTCTGATGCAGGGAGCAGAGGTGAGTGTGATTGATAAGAACTGGCAGAAGGTGTCTACAGCCATTCTTTGTGGAGTCATGTTTTGTCTGTAGGTGAAAGAAAAGCTCTTGAGGGGGGACAACTGAAACATTTTCCACCATGTGTTTTGGTGAAAGTTAACCAAGTTGTAGCATATGATGAATTCTTTCAATTAAAACAAAGAAAAAAAGAAGAAAAAAAAACATTCGTCAGACTCATTTTTGCCAAAATGTTTCAGAATTTTGGAGCTTATCTCATTTTCTGCCCATGCAGAATTGACAGCTGATAAATTGTTCTAGTTTGAAAAAAACATGATAGTCTTGCTATTTTAAAAAGGGAGAGGGGAAATGTCATAAAAGCTATGATTAGAAAATAATTCCTTTTCATTCCAATAATAAAAAAATGCATGGCATAAAATGCATAAAATATATATTTGGTATATACTTACAAGACATAAATCAATACCAGACTTCATATGTCAGCCTCTCTTACTTACCGTGACTAGTTTGTTATGGCAGCAGATGCTTACAGCTAATAAGTCACTATTTTGGAAATTCATCATGATGACAACTTTATATTCATTTTTCTATTATCATTAGTACTCACAATAATGTAATGTAGACTTGCCTAAATCTACATGTATAATTTGATTCTCAGATGACTTCTTCACATCCCGTTTTAGTCACAAAAATAATCATGAGTTAAGGTGGTTTGCAAGATCATATTTTTGGCAGAGTTAAGTAAAAATGTTGCAGTCTTTGGGTAATAAAAAAATAAGTACTGTTTACTGAACATTCAGTGTACCAAGTGCTTTATTTGCATCTAATCCTCACAACATCCCTTGTAAGGCAGGTGAGGTGTTATTTTTACTGAGAAAGTTAGGTATGTGTGAAATGATTTGCCAGAAATCACTTCATTGAAGGCTCCAACAGTTACTATAATGCAAGGTCCTCCTTTAGAACTTAGGTTCCTTTCCCACCATATCTGTTTTTAGAATCAGAAAGAAACTAATGGAGCCCAACTGGAATGTCAACATTCCAGTCTCCATAACAACCCTGAAACATGGTGCTTTACCTTCCACTGACTGTTTCCACTAATGAGAGTCCTCACCTCTTAATAAGCAGCCCATTCGTGTTGGAAAAAAACAAACCATTATAGAGTTTTGCTCAGATTTAGTCAAATTTGGCCTCTCTGTAATGTTCCTCCATTCGTTATGCAGATTCTTTCCTTAGAACAATGTTGAAGTGCAGATTCTAAGTCAGGAAGATTGGGGCAGAGCTTCGGATCCTGCATTTCCAATAACTCCCAGCCAGTGCTTGTACTAGAATCCCTGGATCACACTTTGAGTAGCAGGTTCCGGTACTACATACTTCTCTCCAGTCAACTAAACCACTATCAGTCCGGTTTATATCTTATTCTTTTTTCTTCAGGTTAGACACCCAACTATTCACTTGCTCTAAATATGGTTTCTAGCTACTGCCCATCCTGCCTGTACCCTCTGGGATACGTTCACTTGTTCACTTGTGGAAATCTCTAGAATTGAAAGTATATTCTTGATGTAACCAGACCATGGAAGACACCACTTAGATTCTGAATTTTTGCAACTAAAAAACTCTTATTAAGTAGATTGTATACATAAGGCTTTGTTTTTGTTAGTAGCCAGCAACATAAAATGAACTTATAACCAAACAAATCTCTCCATATTTCAAATACTAGGTTCTTAAGCCAGTCACTTTTATTCCATAGTCTCACAGTTAATTTTGCATAATTTTGGTCTAAGTAAAAGATTTTACTTTTGTCTCTGTAGAATTCTGTTTTGTTGGCCTCTTACATTTCTATCTTGGATTTATTGTTTATTGGATATCAAGATTCCAATTTTGTGAAACTCCAAACGTTATTAGCCCACATTCAGAGTGTTCACTGAATATCTGATAAAAATGTTGTACACACAGAGACACCACTTAAGACTTCCCTTTATTTATTAAAACCCTTTGTCGACTGTTAGTGAACCAACTACGAACCTACTGATGAATGAACTGTGATGTTGACCAACCACAGTTTTCACACATTGTTTACAAGACAAAACTAGGGCATTTCTCTTCACCTTTTTCTTTACCTTCTTTCTGAGAGATGAATTTATCAAAAAATGGTCAAAAGAAGAATTATCCAGAGTTAGATGTAAAAAAATAAAAATAAAGAGAGAATTAGTCCCTCAATGAAAATCCCCTTTCATTAATTTGCTTTGACATTATGTTAATAGATTTTAATGCTTAATATTTTAGGCATTCAGTATGTGATTACTGGATTATGGATTATTTAATTATATTATCTTGGAAAAGTTCAACTTGTTCATTTTCCTCTTAAAATAGACAGGATTAGCTGTAATTTGCTATAGTTTTGATATAAAAATTAGAAATGAATTTATTATAAGGCTTGCACATGTTAAGCATGAAAGGTTAGCTGTGATGATGATAATGATGCCTGCTGTTATTATGGAGACCCCAATGAACCATGCCTCACAGTTCACACTCTTGTGTACTCCTCTCACCTTGAGTGTGGACTAGCCCTGTCATCAACTTTAATCAAAAAAATAAAAAAGAAAAAGAGAAAGAAAAAGTGAAATGTAGAGAATGTGAAACTATGCTATTTCTGGGTCTAATAAACCTTTTAAAAGGCCTAGAAGCTTCTATTTTTGTGCTCAAGGAATGTCAACTGCCACATAAAATGTCTGATGACCCTGGATTATGGTACATGGAGAAGTCTAACCCAGTCACTTGGAGGAGCTCTCGGTCAACAGCCAGCAGTAACTTGCCATCCCTGGGGCCCTCTAGTAGCTGTCCTGTTCCATAATCCACAGCCCTGCACAACTCGCTCGTCCTGGCTCATTTACCCAGCCTAGGTCTGAGTTCTAGCTTCCCCCACCCTCATTCAGCCAGGAACAAATCCAGGCAGTACATAACAGTTCACCAAAGAATTGCAGTAATGCATTTTTCTTTCTAATGCACACATGGAAACAATTTACTGAAAATGATTTATGAGTATCTTGTGTTTAATGAAAATAATGTCACTAATTTATCATTTCATTCTTAAAATAACTAAAAAACATCTAAAAATACAAGAGTTTATCACATAGTGTAGTAAAGATAACCTCATGATAAAACATCAAAAAACTACTAAATTCTTCCATCTTACCATTTTATATTCTTTCCAACCTCTTTGGAAATCCACACTTCCATCTTCACGATGCTGTATCACAGTCCAACCACCCCCATTGAGATCCATATTGCAAAATACCTGACAGAAAAGGGGAAAATAAAGTCAAGTAAAGAATTAGGTTTGTTTTAAATAAACATGTATCAGATATGTTTTAAAATAGAAATAGGATGGATAGGCCTATAGATAAAAAGAATAAAAATTACTATGTTGAAAAATGTTAATTTAGACATGATTGGTTGTTCATCTTATATTTGAGTTATTTCTGATTAAACTATATCAAAGACACATTAATCACTTATAAACATTTAAATCTGTAACCTGAAAATTATGTTTCAGACTCTAAAAAAAATTTAAAGATCTTTGTTTTAAATGGCAACAGGTACTTGTGTATGTTCAATTTTTTAAAATATGACTAAAGTTTCTAAAAGTACAGACCATTTTCTTAACAAAAGGTAAGACTTAAGACTTGAGATTTTTAAATCTTTAGTTAATTGAAATGGCAATATAATCATAATAAAGGTTTTAGAAAAACAAATTTTAAAAAATCATTTGTAGTTAACTGTTACATGTTTCATTGCATATTAACTTTTATATACTTACATACTACAATAATTATTCTTGATGGTTCAGTGTTACATTAGAGGCAAACTTTTGTCCTTGGCATATGGAGAACACATTATTTGCATGAATTTTCGTCATGAACATTAAGAAAAGTACATGACATACTGTATTCCTTCTGACTGCAACAAGCATTTTTTTTCCCATGAGGTAAAGTTATCCGACTCTTTCAAAGAGTTATGCTTATTTCAATTATTCTAAATACAATAGTATTTATTTAGAAATTGATTCATTTTCCTCAGAGTCCACCCAAGGAGAGAAGCGTATCTGTAATGGGATTATCTTTTGAGAGCAATCACTGTAATTGATGCAGCATGAATGTGGCAGTTTGACTATTCAAGGGCCCTGAGATGGGAAACACCATTCCCCTGGCAATTGACTTCTAAAGCATCATGGAGGCTGGCTAAAGGTGTAGAAATGAGGCTACAGCAGCAGACAGGCTGTGTGGACATAGAGCTAAACTCTGATGAAGGGAAAAACTTCAAGGGTTTTCCCTGAGGCATTAAATGCAGGGCACAAATACTAAAGGCTAGTAAAACAATGGCAAAAACTGTAATTCAAAGGACAAATTATCCATGTACTTCTTCATAGTGAAAGGAACTAAAAGATGCATGCCTATTTGTGAGAATATAATCGGGTAAACTATTCTCCCGAGGGCTGGTCGGCCCTCTAAATTGACAACAGCCACCCATCAGTACATCTTCACAATCTCTAGGGACTGACTCACCTCCATGATTATAAATGTGGAATCTCCCACCCAAGTTTCCCCTTAACTAATTCCTTAACTCTTCTGTACCTATTGATTGTCCTCAACACAGGCTGCAGATAGTATTTTGTCCTCCTTTAATTCTAATCCGTTCATTCACTTATTTTTCACTCAACAAGCATTTCTGGCATTGATTCTGTGTTACAAATGGATGTTAATGATAAATAAAATATGGGTCATACCCTGAAAAATGCCTAAAGGTTTTAATAGTGACTACTCCTATGGGATTAAGAAGATGCAGGAGTCTGCACTTTACAACCCTTGTGACCTGCAGAATGAGGAAGACAGTATTCCAAATAAGAAATTTAAGGAAGAGAGCTAACATATGAGAAAAGAAAATGGTCATGGTTTTAACCATGTAGAGTGTGAAGTAGTATAGCCATCCAAAAGAGGGAGTTATTGATCAGTTGGAGATGATCTACTGAAGGTCTTCCAAGGATAGATGGATAAGAGACTAAGGGAATAAGAAGGAATAGCCATTAACTATAGCATGCTCTTTAAGGGTCAGATAATTGAAACTCTTTACATGCATTTTCTAACTTATTTTACAACAATCTAATGATGTAGGTATGATCATTACCCTGAGTTTAAAGCTAAAACCCAAAGCTTATGTTCTTTAATAATTTATCAGTGGTTATTAATAATAAGTGATGGATACAAGATTTGAACCCCAAGTCTACCTAATTCAAAATGGTATTGGGAGTCAAATGCTTGAAAATAATAGTTGATTGCTTAAAGGTGGGTTATCTAAAGAGGAAAAGAAAAAAAGTGGAAAGAGATATGTGTGGGGGAGGGGTAGGTAGGAAGATCCTAGAAAGGGCTTTGTAAAGCAACTGATAGAAAATCCATTAATAGCCCTTAAGATGACAGGGACTTCATTTTATTTGGTAACTACTGTTACCAGTTCCTAGAGCAGTGCCTAGCCCATAGTGTGTACTAAATGAGTACTTATTGAATAAATAGAGATGCAAGAAGAAAAAAAGAAAAACTTTGTTAATGTAATGCAAGACAAGAAGGTGATGAATTTTGAGTTGGGGAAGTGATTAATTTAATAAAATATTCCAGAGAAGTCAAGACAAACAAATATTAAGAAAATACACCCTTAAATTTAAAACAAAGGAGCTGTTAGTGACCTTGAAGAGAGAGTGCAGGATTCCTGTGACAATGAAATCCAGATGGCACAGTTTAAAGAGAGAACAGGTGGTGATTCAAGACAAGTGGCCAAGGTGGAACTTTCCTGGTGAGATTTAAGAGTAAGTGATAATGTCAAGAATGCAGTTTGCTAGGGGAAACTGATGGCACCTGTTTCTTAATTAAATTTTAGCTGGCTTGGCCTAGCTAATCCAGAACTTTTTAAATAGATTTTTATATTTTGATGGACAATGATTGCCTGAAATTTTGTCAAACTGTGTTTACAAACCTATAAAGTTCACTTACATACTTGGGGGTAAGAAATAACTCCGTTTATAAATATAGAGTGTGTAGAGGAAATTATACTTTATAGTGTTTATTATTATTACCTGTTCTTAAAATTCTATGAAGTTTTAGAATCACTCAAAAAGTTTAGCAAAAGACAACTGGATATCTTAAGTCACTGGATATCTTTAAACTGAAGATATCCAGTGACTTAAAAATGCCAAGATGTTTTGAGAATCATTCTTAGAGAAAAAGCCAGAGCAAGTCCGCTATGTGGGAGATGGAAGTTACTCAAGAAGATACTGTTTGGAAGCTGAAGTGCAGAGAAATGAGCAGGTTGAGCATATACTTTATTATTTTTATTAGGGCTCATTAAAAGCAGACATACCAGGCCCCATTTGTTATTTATGGGCATAACAGAACTGAATAGCACTTTGGTCAGGGGATGGACTTGGGTACTATTATAGATTACCCATGTTCAAATCCCACCTCTATTTTCTCTCTCTTTTAGATATTTTGCAAGGACTAAGTAAGTCAATGTATATGGAGTTTTTAGAATTGTGTTCAGTACACATTAGGCTTTGCATTACTCACATCTCTTGGATGTATGTAACATATAATATGTATTTATATTATGCACTGTACACTTTGTACATATCTCATATATTACAGTACAATTTACTATCCTATCTAATAAAAGAATAATATGCAAATTGACCATCACTTCAACACACAAGATGGGCTGCCCCCATGTGGTCAAAGATGGCTGTCCCCATGTGGTCAAAGATCCTGTGTCCATGTGGACATAAGATGGCCACCACAAGATGGCCATCAGGGGAGGGCAGTTGTGGGTGATCAGGCCAGCAGGGAAGGGCAATTGGGAGGGACCAGGCCTGCAAGGGAAGGCAGCTGGGAGCAATCAAGCCTATAAGGGAGGACATTTAGGGGTGACTAGGCCAGCAGAGGACGGAAGTTGGGGGCAACCGGGCCTGCAGGAAAGGACAGTTGTGGGGGACCCAGGCCAGCAGGGGAGAGCAGTTGGGGGGGGACCAGGCCTGCAGGGGAGGGCAGTTAGAGGCAAACAGGCTGGCAGGGGAGCAGTTAGGCATCAATCAATCTGGCAGAGGAGTGGTTAGGGGTGATCTGGCTGGCAGGCAGAAGCAGTTAGGAGCAATCAGGAAGGCAGGCAGGCAAGCAGATGGGAGCCAATAGTCCTGGATTCTGAGAGGGATGTCCAACTGTCCATTTAGGCCTGATCCTGGTAGTTGGACATTCCTCAAGGGGTCCCAGATTGGAAAGGGTGCAGGCTGGGCTGAGGGATAACCCCTGCCCCACCCCACCCTTCCCCAGTGCATGAATTTTTTGCTCTGGGCTGCTAGTTGTATATAACTGCATATAATGAATATACAAAGCCAAAATACAGGGTGTCCAAAAAAATGTATGTATACTTTAACAGCTGATAGCTCAATATTGAAAACAAACACTGCCTTTATAATTATTCAGAGTATATTTACATATTTTTGGGACACCCTACATTTATAAATTTAGTAAACTGTCCTTAAGATTACAACTACCAGCTTTTTGTTAGTAATACTGGCATTACAAATCTTTGCACATGCTGCTTTTTATTATCATGCATATATTTAAAATGTTGGATTCACTCTAGGAAAAAAAGAGACCGTGTTATTTCTAGTCAGAAGAAAAATAAAGAGCCTATGCTTAATAGATGAAGGAAGTTAAAAAAAAAAAAGGGTTGGTTTCAAAAGATATATGAAAGGACTTGAAAAGTTCACTTGCCATTATCGTGTGGTCTGTGCTATCTTCCTGTAGACAAGGGCCTCCTACATTTACTATGCTGGTTGCATTTATTGATCATATGACTTGGGCTTAACTCTATCCAAGAAAAGATTGAACTGGCTCCCATCCCAGGCAAGGTCAAAGCTTTCAAGCATTAAATACCTTTTAACATAATACGGGGATTTAAACCCAAACAAAAAGGGGAAATTTGATTCACATAGTTTCTTATTTTTTATGCTCCATACAAGTTGGAATGATTAGACTTGTGGATGTTAATTATTTTTCCATAACCTTGAATAACAAAGGTTCAAAACATTTGTCATAGTCCTTTTCTAAGAATTAGGAAAATTTTGAACTTAGAAATAATTTTTTAATATTTTACAATAAGGAGAGTTATAATTTAATGTGTGTGTGTGTGTTTTTAATGAAAGTAAGCAAGTAGGATAGGGCATTTGGTTTCAGAAACTTATGAAATGAAAGGGAAAAATTTATTTTCTGCTACTATGCATGGAAGAGAATTCAGAGAGTAAAATAACTACAAGCTATTAATAATATCCAAGTTAAGAATAATGTATATATAATCTAATTCTCATTATCTATGTACTTGAAAAATTAAGTAGTCTTAGAAAACTGCCTTTGGCTTCCACATTATATTTGAAAATGTAACACTTTTCTAACCTTTGCAGACATCCTTTCTTGACAGGGAATGATGGCGGTCAAAACAGCAATTGCATAAAAATTTTCTATATTTGCAATTCTTACTCTGCCTAAAATAGTCCAATTTATTGATTGGCCCCTATCCCATGTCATAGATATTTGAACTTTTTGTTTTCTTTTGTTTTTATATATAACTTTGCCTTGAGTTTTTATCCTTGCTAGAGCTCTCACAAGCATCACAATGAGCAAAGATTTTCTAAATAAATTCAAAAGTATTACAAACTTTATATCTACAAAGCACAATCTACTTGGAAGGGTGAAGGTCCTACAGATGAATTTTATAAGCACTTTTTATAGAATTGAAATATACCAATGATTTATATAAAAATAGAAGAAAATGGATTATAGGGTGAATGGGTGGCTTATCAGAGCATAAATACATGTTACATAATTTTTTATAATACACTATATGCTAAGTCACTCATATAGGTTTAAACAGTGCAACTTTAGTCACCACTTAATAAATAATTATCATACTTGGTCCCTGTTAAGATGGCATCCTCAGCAATTGATTCCTTTGTTCAATATTTAATAACTATGTGTTTGGGGCAAGTTATTTTCCTAAAATAGAGATAATGGGAGCATCTATTTCAAAGAGTTGTTGAGGAGTAAACATGTGACTACATATAAAGTTCTTAGATTATGACCTGGCAAAATATGAATACATTTGAACTACTGTGTTAATAGGCTCCTAAATGACATTGGGGGAATTCAAACCATATTTGTTCTTACTAATGCCAAGCTATGTGAATATAATAATGGATTTAAAACAAAATTATCTACCTTCAAAAAAGTGCAGATATCCACCTAATGTATCCATCTCTACCTTAGAATATTACTACTTCTGAGAGGATTCATGATCAGAAAGGGAACAGATAAAACGAGGGAATACACACCAAAGTCAAGAAGTTATCGAAGTCTTTCGTTTTTCTCCCATCTGCTCAGTTATCTCCTGCCTCACCATACACTGCCATTATTTCCATTAAAACTAAATCTGGTAACTTCCCTGACCAGAAGAAGAGAGAATGGCCATGGGGCCATTTCTAGGGTGATAAAATTTTGCTTGTTACGGGCTGTACTAATTTCACTGCTAATCTGTTCAGGCTACAATGTTTTCCTAGGCCCAAATCTCAGAAGTTTAATCCAGATATTTGACATTTGTGGATTTAATATTTCAGATTCTATTTATTCAGGAACCCTGAAGCTCCATAATATGCAAAATTCATCACTCTTCAGAGGTGTCAATTTAAATCACGCAATCCTGGTGAAACCAACATAGGAGTCAGCCACTGAACTAATGAACTAGATCCTCCAAGCCACTCCTTTATATAAATAAGAAAAGCACATTTATTCAAGTTAATGCGTTATTATTCAAATTTATGAGTTTGAGCTGTTCAAGATAATGAGTTAAGATTGGCTATTTTTCTTCCACCCTAAAAAGGAGCATGGCTCTGCAAATGGCCTATGCACCATTTGTATTTCAAAATATTTTGAACTAGAATAGAGTTGTGGTTAGATATGAATTAAAGTTGTGGAAAGATCAAAACTTGTGTTTGTAATGTTTGCACCATGGCCACATGGCGTACTGGTGATGGAGTGAAAAAATACTCTAAAAGTGTGCATGTTAATCTAAAAAACATAAAAACTTATTTTATTTTTATATTCATATATATAATAGAGTCATTAGGAATCTAAAAGGTGGGTTACAATATTTTTAGTTAACTGTGTTGTCCTAATCAAGCTAACTTACAGCGGAGCTAACAATTTAGAAGTCCTTCCAGGTCTTGGGCGGGATGTGAGTAGATTTAGAGAGCATTATGTGAGCTACACTACTCCACCCCAAGACATTTCTGACCACTTTACATGCTCTGTGTACTGTGGCAGTGTGTACAGTGTTTACCTGCCTGTGTGTGTGTGTAAAATGGATTTAAGCTCAAGTATGCTTTTAAGAAAGCAGCAAGCACAGTAGGAAGGCTTCATGTCAAAGGATTTAAAAGGCTCCTCCTATAAGTTGCCCTTTCTCTTTACTCCTAGACTTGCCATTGTAATGTTGCAACTTGTTTTTAAAAGGCCATGGAGCACTTGATTCAGTGACATCTTTTACTGAAGCCCAAAATGAAAAAACAGGTGAAACCAAACTTCTCTGGTAGGTGGCCAGGTCACAATACATAGACCTGTGCCTGCCACCTCTTCTCCTTGTGCTTTCTTCCCCACCTCTTTTTTTGGTAAAATTTTGTCCTAACAAAGAGAAAAACAAACAAACATTGAGCTAACTTAAACCATGAATCCTCATTGAAATCAGTAAAGAGAGAACACTGGGAGAGACTTTCTACTTTGACAATTGTGTGACATCTGACAAACTTTTTAAAGATTCATTTCCCTGGCCAATCAAAGGTACTGAACAACAGGAAAACTAAATAAGTTAGGCTTACTTATGATGCACTACATAGAAGTGTTAATGTTACAATCAGCAGGGCATTTATCCATTCATTCATTTCAGCACATTCTTCTTGAGGACCTATGATGTTCCAGAAACTATGCTGGGTCCCAGGAAATCAAAATAGCAAGGAGCATACAGTGGAATACCACTTGGCCATAAAAAGAAGGGAATCTTGTCATTGGCAACAGTATGGATGGACCTTGGGGATATGATGCTAATAGAAATGTCAGACAGAGAAAGACAAATATCTTATGATTTCACTTATTTGTGGAATCTAAAATATAAAACAAATAAATAAAACTCATCGATATGGAGGACAGATTAACTATCAGAGAGAATGAGGTCTGCAGGGTGGGCAAAATGGATGGAGGAGGTCTACCATATGGTGATGAGTAGACATTGCAGTGATAACTTATCGAATTATTGTGTTATACACTGAAACTAATATAATGTTATATACCAATTGTACTTCAATTAAAAAAAAAGAAAAGAAAAGATACAATTCTTGGCCTTGAAGAATTCTGATATGAGAAGGTCATGCAGATTTGTCAGAGGGAATCAGGGAAGGCCTTCCAGGAGCTTTTGCAGGCGTCCAGAGGAAATAGGGACATGGATGGCTTGGGGTCAAAGAGGAGAAAGTGTTCCATCCTTTGAAGAAGCATTGCAGGGGCAGCCTGGCTTCTCTGGCTCTAGGGCATCTAGCTGACACTTTATGTTGAAGAGCAGGGCTCTCCTCAAAGTTTTCTAAAACTCTGCTTCACACAGACGGTCTCTATCACTACACTTCCACAGTATAATTATCTGTGTAATTGTCTGTCTCCGCCACACACTGGGGACTGTTTGTTCTGTAGTATGTCCCTGGTCAGTGACTGGCGAATGAACAACTTACACTTAATATGTATTGAATGAAGGAATGGATTGATGATTTAATGAATAAATAGGGAGAAAGAGTATATAAAAGTGAAATGACAGCAGGAAGATAATGTCTTCTTACTTCAAAGTTTACTTTGGATCCTGTTCAACATACTGATGAGTCCTACCCTCCAACCCACTCTTTTCGGTACATACAAAAAGCTCTAATCCTTTTGTGTTTAAGATAGGATGTGTTTCTCTCACCCCAGCAGAAGCAGTGATTCTGGAAATGTGTCCTAGCTCCCTCCGTACAGTGTCTGGACTGTGGATGATGTGTGCCATCTGGGTTCTTGGGACTTTTTCCCTGCCCTTGAAATATACATGACTTCAACATGCAATCTGAATAGGCAAGCATTTATAAGCAAAGGGACATCCCAGGAATGAGAGAGAATAAGAAAACTTTGTGTAAAAGAAGCATGGCAGGTGTGGGAGTTAGGGGAGGTCTGTACAATAGATTTTCATGTTTTATGGACCTGGGAAACAGAATATTTCTTGAGAGAAAAGAGCTCAGGCATATATATTTTCAGTTTAACAAGCTCACAAATCAATCTGATTATTCAGCAATTCAACTAGGTTCTGCTTTACATCTCATAAACAAACACTTCTGGTTTTACCTTTTTGGGTTCTGGCATATTATTAATATAAATAGTGTAGATTCCACTTTTATTAAAACCAGCTTGATATACATCTGCACAGTCTCTAAATGGTTCCTCTTTTTTTCCTCCCTTTAGTAAAACTGCAAAAAAAAAAAGATTGCAATATGTGAATAAAAATATCAGTACATTAGTACCCAAATGGACTTCAAATATAACTAATCAAGTCTTCATTTCCTCCAAATGTCAATATTTCAGTGAATGAAAAATCTATCATCAAGACAATAATCGATTTTGAGTTGACTCACAAAATTACAAAGCTTAAGAAAAAAAACCTGCAGAGCAATTTTCAACTGAATACTTATTTTATATTTTGTTTAATTCCTTATGTCTTGTTTTTCTCTAAAGGTTTTCCAAAACATCAAGTCAACTGGCATGATTATGTAATACCTCTAATCAGTAACAATTATGTTAGTATTCCTGCAAAATTTCTAAAAAGCTCTTACCTACATTTCATAGGAAAGTTTTTTTAAAGTGTGGAAGCATTTTTTGGAAAACAGAGATAACAAATTCAAGCATAAAAATACAGTATAAAGATTTAAAACACTAAAAGTAGGCAGTACTGTTTCTTTCCATGGCTTTAAAATTGAAGAAGTTCTAGAATTTTTAATTAAAAAAGACAACTCTCAAAATAATTATATTCAGAAAGTAGAAAAGAATCTCTGACCTAATTGAACTATCTAGAAAGATGAGGAAACTGAATTTTGTTCTTTATTCAATGCCCTATAGTTAAACTATTAGGTAGATGATACACACAAAAATGAAAGTAAATAAGGTTTTAAATTAAATGATATAGGGGAAGAGCTCCAAAAAAGCTGTAAGTCCGGTGGAAAATAAATTTAATTGGAAATAGTCTTTACTGAGAACTTTATTTTATTTACTAAGTTCTTATTAATGAGATCAAACTATGAAAATTACTCATATTTAACAATATTTAGCTATGGGTAGTATATTTATAAAACATTTATGATGTAGTATTTCCTAATAAATATACATTTATTATTTTAATAATTGGTTTCATTAAGCCTTTTCTAGAAGGTTAATAAGTTCATCATCTTGCTATCATTGTGTTATTTAATAAATATTTACTTTCAGTCATTGAGTTGCAGTGGTCTTTTATAATAAAAATATAAAAGGTAAACTATGAATCAGTGCTTTTAAATTCTTTATCAGTCTAAAATACTAGTCGGATTTAAACTTAAGATGCATGATGTTACTAATTTATAGGCAATTAAAATAAACAGTCTAATCTTGGTAGGAAAAAAGGATTAACTCAATGTAAATATTTCAAATTTTCAGAAAAAACTTATATTTCAAGAAAATGTAATATCCATATCAGACATGTTGACATAACAAAATTTTAAAATTATTTAACAGTATCATGGTTTTTTTCTATAGCTCATGTCTAGCCTAATGGTTTTACCTACTTGTATTAATAATTACATTTAAACACCACCATTACAATTGCAATATAAACACAGAATAAGTAATCACAGGATTGCAGGTTCATATGATAATGAAGAAATATTGTACAGTATATATGCAAATAGAAACTGAAAAATAAATACTTACTCAAAAGCCATCTGAAATATCATTGGGCATGTCAATAAATTATATAAAGGTGTTATCATTGTCAAAAACATCAATGCAATTCACTTGTGCTTGCCTATTTTCAACTAATGGACTATTATTTTCCACAAAAATGTTTTAAGTTCTAAATGCTTGATTTTTTTTTTTGTTGAAATGTGGAAATAACCAAATTAGATGCAAATAAAGAGTTGAAAAAAAATACCAACTGAATTTATGATCTCTTAAGAGGAACAACACAGGAAGATGTGGTCAACAGAAAATCAATGGCAAACCCATTTTTCTTTTTGGGTAGAGAAGGTCATTTATCTAAGGAGAAAATGCTTATTCTCATTGCATATACCACTTCCTGCGCTGCCTTAGTTATCTAGGGAGAATACATTCCCTTCTCACTCCTGTACCACCTCCACCCCCTTTTCTTTTCCTCCTCAGGAAGATGTGGGTAAAAAGGCTGCTGTGTGGGAAGAGGGAAGCTATTTCACACACTTTTTAAATAACCAAGAAACATTGTTATCATCTTGTTTTTCTGCAAACTAATTGTATACAAATGATGTCCAAACCATGAACATCATTATCATTATTGTTATCGTTATCATTGATACGAATGTTTACAACTGAAAAAAATGGTACAAGTAGTACTATGATTATATTATGGGATTCATTGCTATGGCAACATATCTAATACAGATATTTCATTTTCTTGAACTGTAATTTGGTATTTTGAAAAACTGAAACACTTGCAGTCTACCCTGAACAAATAGTCTTTCCTTCTAAGAAAATTAGATTGCTTGTTTTTTATTAGAGTATTAAAAATTTTTAGAGTACAAAAACATTTAAAATCAATTTAAAAGCTTCATTCACAGCTTACTTTTGATATTTGTATTATATACTGTGGTTTGAAGAGGGCTCCTTTAGAAGAGTAGACTGACCTTCAGAGTTTTTCTTCCTTTTTTTAATCTATAAAGTGGGGCAGTAATACATATTTCTGAGGCACAAGTATGAATTATGTAATAGAGCCAAGTGATTGAATTACAGTAAGTACTCAGGAAATAGCAGTTATTATTGTTGTTATTATGGTGTTATAATATTATGGTATTATAATATTATTAATGACTACAGGTGGGGGGGGACTCCAGCAGGGCTGAGAGGACTGGGTGCCACCATCTTGAGGCTATGGGTGCTACCATCTTTTGTGATGGAGTGAGGGTCAATTTGCATATTATTTTTATTAAATAGGATAACATTACATTATTATTTTATCTTACGGAAGGATACTAGCAAGTTATGGGAAGCCAGCCTGTCTAGTTAATGAAGTGGTGGATGCTATTGTTTCCTACTCTCAAATACAAATATTGTAACTGACTAAATGCAGGGCAATTACAATTGACTGGTTATAGGTAGGATTAGAACTGGACTCCCCCTGTGAAAATTGGCTAATTGGTGTATTTTATTCCTTGACTACATCAGGTCATACCATCATTGCTTAAACCTAAAAAAAAAAAAAAAAAACCCTAGGTAATTTGTATACTGTAAGCTTTATCTGAATAGTTAAGAGTTCAGTATTATTTCAGATGAAATAATATAGGAGGTATATACTAATGTTGATTATAGAGGTTGTAATCTCATAATTTAAATTTACAAGACTATTTTCTTCATTAAGTACCAGAGAGTTCTGAAATTCAGTATTATGATTAGTTATTGTAAGACTGGACACACAATAAACTTTTTCAAACATAGAAAGACAAGAACAAAAGATGAATTCCCTGAAGATTATAAGTTGTCAGAGTTATGGATAAATTTTTGTAGGAGATCTTGAAATTAAAAAAGATGGAAGATGTAACAAAAATAAATACAAATAGAGCCACTTTAAAGTGGAGCCAGAGCTGCGATCCCAGAGGAACTGCCTTGCAGGTCTTACTTCTCCAATCTTGGGAATGTTAAAACAGGGAAAAATAACCTTTGGACTGGGTCTACAGTAACACCATGTCCCTGTTTGTAAAGGTACCAAGAAATCAGATACTATGACTACTGGACTGATGGCTACCCAGGCTAAAAATTAAAAACACTGTTCAGAATTAGCGTCACTATGTTAGCTTATCTGCACCAAAAGAAAGGCCTTCCTTCTACCGACATAATTCCCCTTCCCTTTCTCATAAATTCCCTTTGCTTTGTCTTCTAATCAGAACACTCTGGGTTTCTGCCCGAACCAATGCTTCCCAAAGAGCTGTTCTTTCTTGATTTCAAATAAATGCTGGTTGCCTCTCACTTTGGTCTTTTACTTTGAGGTTAACAAAGAATGTCTGGAGGAATGCATGGCAAATGACAAAAGGTAAATAGGGGAAACCTGATGGAAGAGGATGAAAGAAGCACCAACTGGACAGAACCGGGGAGAGTGATCTGGAGACCTGATAGAGGTGTTCAGCTATCTGCCAGCCTGGTTAGACTTCTTTGTAATAATAAACCAGGTTAAAAACAGGCATTAAAAAATAGATCTTTGAGCACCAGCCTGTGGACTGAAAGGTCCGGGGTTAAATTCCGGTCAAGGGCATATGCCCAGGTTTCAGGCTTGATCCCCAGTAGAGGGTGCCAATCAATGATTTTTCTGTCATCATTGATGTTTCTCTCTCTTCCTCTCACTTATACTCTGAAAACAATAAAAGCATATTTTAAAAAAACATAAATCTTTGCATCTAAAAGGTCCTTCTTTGACCACACGCCCTTGTCATTTCCTCTCCCACTCTTTAAATGCTTCATGAGTTTGTCTTTTCTCTAAGTGGAGCCAAATCCCATCATTAATGCCAGTTCTTTCCTAGCCTCTGTTTTCTTTTTTCCTAACTTTGATCTTAGCTTTAGAATGTAAACAACAGTTAAGAAGAGATAACACCTGAAGGAGTAAGACATGAAGAAGAGCATATCTGAACTATATTTCAAGGGCCTGGTGTGCCAATTCAAAGACTTTACCTACACCGCTATCAGCAAGTAAAATCATTCCTTTCATTTAGTCTTATCTGCACAGCAAAATGTTCACGATCTAAAGACACAAACAGTTGCATGTCTGTCTTTCACCTGCCAACATTCAGACAATATGCAACCGGAGACCCCGGCTCCAGCAGCTATTGACTTTATCAGGCTCTTCCTTTCATTTGTCCAAACAGTTTCAATCCAGATGGCATATCTGCCACCAGGCTAACTTCAGGGAAGAACCATGGAAGTTGAGGCAGAGGGTCACTTCAATTCAGATGAACCCTCAAGAGAAAACTTCCTGGAATGTAGAATTGATAGTTATGAGTCTCAGCAGACCTAGTAGAAAACACAGATGGCGATTAGCCTTGCTATCAGAGACCATGTAAAAAGCCAAAGCCCTTGAATCCTACTCTTTCCTAATAAGCTGCTATAAAGAAATCGATTTTTCAAGCATTCCTTTTAAATCTTAGATGTGGCTCATCGTTCATATCTCTCCAGTATTTAGGAAACATCAGAATGAATGTGGATCAAG